TTGTGTATATTATCTCACCCAATTTGCCAGTTCACTTTTCCACTATGTTGGATTTTGTTAGTGCATGTACTAGCTAGTTAGGTCTATCTAGCTCACTTAACCGTGTCCTTTCAGGCACCACACCCTTTTACTCCCATATTCCTTGAAACAGATGCTATGGGAATCTTATTTGTGTTGGGAAACATAATGGATAGTTTTCTATTGCTGATAATGTGAACTGATAACAGGAATAAAAGATGCATTTTGCATGCCATTGTTGAATTCTTTAATCTTAGCCAGTGTGATCCATCTTTTTATATTACTGCTGCATTCAATGATTCTAAGTGCAACTAAGCATGCACTTAGTTACCTCAATTTTTTATGTGGCACGTTGAGGTTCAGAACAAGTAATTAAAAAAAAAAAGAGGAAGAAGGAAAGCCCTAAAGTATCATGGGAGTTCATTAGCTTGAAAGAGAAACAGGAGCACATGGACAAGCTGGTAATAGGTGTCACGCGTATGCTACCTCTTAAATGACCTAGCTTTGTTATTAGTCATAGCTTTACTTGGTTTTTGTTTTAATTACAGGATTAATGAAGGTTTTAAACTCTTAATTAATGGTAAAGTCAGCAATATATAGGTTATCTTAGATGTATTTTTTTAGTCTTGGGATCAGATCTGCTATTCTTGAGGATAAGAGGCCATATTGAGCTCTGTTTTTGTGACCAACATAATAGCTTCATGTACAGTAGAATTGTATTGCTCAAATCATGCAAGATTTTTTCTTAAAAATTGAGCCTTTTGAATCAAAATTTTGTTCTAGCTAGCGTTTAGTTATGGTGTGGGAAAGCTGACTCCTGATATCTTTTTGATTATAACAGGAAAAAACGAAAAAACTGACCTTTATATATATATAAAAGGTCAGTTTTTTCGTATATATATATATATATATATATAAAAGGTCAGTTTTTTCGTTATATATATATATATACACACACACATATATATATTCTCTCTTTAGAGGCTAGAAGTGCATAGGAGATGTGGCCCACCAAATCATCAATCCATTTCATTTATGACCAAATAATCTAAAAGCTTATATGTTACCTCCTGAAGCAGGTAAACAACAACCTGGATCCCACCAGCCAGATTTTTACATCTTATCAGAAACATGTCACTCAGGCATTATTGAGTGTTAACTTTCAGTTTCCTGGTCATGTTTCCTATGAAAAAAAAGCAACCCTTCTCATTTTCATTGCATAGGTACTTTCAGCTTAGGTAACCCCAGGAATTTGAAGTTTCTAATTTGGTCCTTCAGCTTTGAATTATTTCACAATGATTTTGCATTTGATGCCCAAAGCTTTACCTGTTTTCTTTCTAACTTTTCTTTACCTTTGACTTGTTTTCTACTTCAGATTTGTGCTCGTAAAATTCTGGTTCCATCATTGCTGTTTGAAATATTTGATCAAGTGGTCAATAAATTAGATTTTCTTCAAGATATCTTCGTTATTGATCTAATAGTAGCAAACGACTTCCATGTATATTCCTAGGAGGACCCACCATAAGTTTAAGATTTTATATTTTCACTAGAAGTCTTGTTAGTTATCAATTTTGTTTCAGATGTCATTAATTTCGGCTTTTTTTATTATTATTTGCATGAGATATGTCGGTATTTTGAGGTATATAATTTTCTATAATATTTTAAGGTATAAAATTTTCAACGCAAATGTAAAAATAATTATCTTTAAACAGTGAAATATAAACAAAATTTCCAAGTTTACAACATACCCAAATGTTTGAGGAAAATTGACACGTCTTCAACACAAATGAAATGCCAATATATATATATATATATTATTAAAGTCCAAGTTGTAAGAATGTCAGAAATCATTGTCGATCTAGAAATAAAATTGGAAATGCTTGCAAAATTGTCGGTGCTTTATGTTGTCTTTAGTCATGAATATATATATATATATATATATTGCATATTGTTGTTGTTGTTGTTGTTATTTAAGAAATGTAGATTGTCCACAATTATGATGAAAGAAGAGAATTGTAACAAAAAAGAGTGAATTACAATTTAGTTCTTGTATTTTTGATAATTTTGTAAGTTGGTCTTTTTTGAAAAAAAAATTACAAGTCACTTTCTTGATCAAAGTTGATTGTTAATTGTTTTTTTTTAATAAATAATTCTAAATTTACCTTTTTTAAATGCATTTTTAATTTGTGTGTAGTGAAAAAGATTAGAAAATTGATATTTTAGAAAGAAAAAAAATACCTAAATATAAAAACCCATATTAAATAATTTTAATTTTGCCACGTGACCCAAAATTTTTACATGCTTATATCTGAAAGGAAAAAAAATACCCAAATATAAAAACCCGTTGATTTTTCTCTCTTCTCTCGCAGTCGATCAATCGTTGTTTTATCCGGACGAAAAACCCCCGTCATCCTCACACATTTGCCTTCAATTTTCTTTTCACCATCAATTTACAAGCAATCGAACCCAAAGAACTTTGGATTTCGTTTGTTATTCTAGTAAATTGATCATTAAGTAGCTCGAATCCCCAATTCAAAACCCTAAATGCCCCATCTAATTTTTTAACGCCAAGTATATGTTATTATTGGTTGAAAACTTATCTTTGTTGTCCCTAACCAATATCAATTGATTCTTCATTTCTCTTACTTTGTATCGCGATAACGTGGACAACATTAAAGAAAAAGAATATTTGACAAAAAAAAGTAAGTTGTTTTGTCCTTCATTATTAGTTTATTATAGTTGTGTTATTTTGTTGATCGATTAGTAATCCTTATTATTATAAAGACAACTTAATAACATGATAAAATATACGGAAAAGGAACCGAGTATTTTTTTGGGAGCCTCATTGTCTCATGTGTGTGATCCTTGATTTGTCATTGGTTTGCCAACAATGTAAATTTTTTATTCTCAATCAACTTATTATGTTGTATTTTATTTTAAGACTCTAACTATCTCATGGGTTGATTGTGGTTAATGTTTTTCTTTATTGGTTTTATTTGATAAATGAACACATTTACTTTTCATTTGGGTGGATGTGTGAAAAGGTCAGTGGGTCTAATAGGTTTATGGATTGAATACATTGATGGATATGTGTTTGAGAAAAAAATATTGACCTAGAGTTATTGTGCTTTAGAACCCTCTTAAAATTAGCATGCCGGAGACGATAAGAATATGGATCGGGAGTGGCAGTCATGAATTTTGGGGATTATGAGGTGGACGACGGCTTTAGGGATTTAGGAATTTGAGGACTTGGATTTCTAGCTAGAGAAAAAGGGAGAATGGGGTGGGGGCAATGTGATGTTTTTTTTAATAATTTGTAAATATTAAATATTAGTTTAATAATAAAAATGTTTTTAATTTTTTTCAATAGGAGATACTCGTCCATCCATGTTTGATTAGTTATCGTTAGTTTTAACTTGTCGCGTAGGATGAATATTTAACGGTGTTATAACGGAGGATCCGAATTAACAAATTTATAAGAGTAGAAAATTTCAATCAAGCTAAAAAATCGTAGAAGGTCTCAATCAAAAAAATTTGAATTAGGACCAAATATGGGACAAACCCATTTCAAGATTGAAAGGTTAATATATATATATATGCTCCCATACACCATTTAAGATTTTTCACTCCATCTGGCCTTGTATATTCATAATACACTTTTCTTACTTTTTGGACAAAAATACCTCTTAGACCATTAAAAAAAATATCGAATTTTCAAAAAACACAAAAATTTAAACAAAAAAACCAATAAAATTTGAAAAAACTAGAAGCATAAAAACTTTGAACATACCAAAAAATGAAACAACCTATAAATTCATTGAAATAAAAAATATGCCAACAAATGAGAACTTTGACAATTCTGTGTTCTGCAAAATCTATTTTGTTCTCATAGACATATTTCTATTTATGAGACATTATAGACATGGTTTTTTCATTTTCAGATTTGACAAGTTAATACTGTTATAAAAAGTTTTACAATTTTCAATTTTTTTCTAGGTTTTCTTTAAAAATTTTTTATGTTTTGTGGATTTTTTTTTCCTAGATATTTTTGTGTTTTGTAAAATATTTTAAAGTAATTCTATTTCATTTTTAGGCCTTTTCAAATTAAATTTTCTTTAAATGATTATAGGGTATTTTGGTCTAAAAAGTGACTAAGAAGAAGAAAATCCATAAAAGAACATGTGAAAGAATACCCTCAATATATAAAAAGTAGATGGATAAATTTTTATTTTGTATGAGAAAAACAAAAAAAAATTAGGTCGTTCCCTTTGATTTGGATTATTGGCAAACGAAAGGCAAGATTAGATACCCTCACCAAACTCTGGAATATAAAAATGAGGGAAATCTGATTGCAACTACAGATCATAAAACACTGATTCTTATATTGTATTCTTCTTGTCAGGCAGCAAGAGAACATCGACACTGTGACAGTTCAGAGTTCAGACTTTTGATTAAAGCAACTAACAATGCATTATCTACGAAGACAACACATAGGACTTTAGTTTATCAAGTAATTAATTGGTAGCTATCAAAGCATATGATGAGATCAGAGCTGGCAATGATATCTCTTAACCTATTTTTTATACACAAATCCCCATGTGATTCCATCACCTTTATTTCTCTAGTCAACGATTTGGATATTTGGATTCAATTGTAAGGCTGTTGAGCCATCACTTTAGACCTAAAAAGCAAATCATCACCGTATTGGCCATAGCCTAACCAACCAATTATTATCAGATCTAACCACATTGCTTTTGCGTATGATATTGGAAATGTGAGTTTGGGCAAATAAAACGGTCTCATTCATTACACTCCTTATTAATATTTAGATCCACACAAAGCAGAAATGAACTAAAACTGGAATTAAAAAAAAAAAAAAAAGTTTATAGCAAAAAGTCTTTGAAAAATCCTAACAACAGGGAGTTTCCCATTATAGAGAAATCTGCATGTAAATCAGTAACACAAATCCCATCTGGGTGACATTAAGGGTTTTGGGAGTAATCAAAGCTAAGAGGTTGCTGACAAAATGGAGCCTGCAAAAAAGATTAAAAAAAGAAAAAGTGTGTTTTAGATGTGAAAATTATGAATTGTAAGCACACAAATGAAGTCGGTTCACAAAACAAGAATCACACAGTTCCAAAGAGCAGTCATCAAGAAAGAGCAAAATATTTGGGCTGCAAGGAAGCAATTATAATGGGGTCACTTGGCCCAGAGAACAACAAAATAGCTTAAAGATGGTCTTTCCTTTTCTTCCCTTTTTTTATCAAATAAAGAAGGTCAAATTTGAGGTTCTACCCCTGCTCCACCCCAAGGGAATATATATATATATATATATAGGCAGAAACAAATAAGTGAATAACGGAAATCCTAACAAGACTTACTCAAATTCAAGATTGTAAGCAATAAACTGCAGCCCTACCTGGAAAGTAGCATGTCTAAACGGCTCATATGAATGTGCATACATCATTGCAGCGCTTGGCCATTGTACATATGCAGCATCCCTTGATGTCTGATTTGATCCCACTGCACAGAAGGGGCTCATAACTGGGCTTGCAGCAGGCTGGTAGCCAAGGGAAGCCTGTGTCCTTGGCATCTGACCTGGTTGAGGAAAACCAGTATCATACTGCACAAAAGGAAGTGGAATCTTCTGCATATTGAAGGGTGTCAAGTTGAAGTTCTGAATAGCTGGAAGGCTTCTAACATACCTGCATCAATTCAAAAGCAATTTAGTTTGACCAAAAAAAGCAATCTTCTGTGACATAGAAAAAGCAAATTAGGGTTACAAGGGATTCAATTATTTCAAAAAATTTGATAATTGAACAATCCTTAAGAATCAATCTCTATCCAATCATGCCGTCCAGGGATAGAGCTGTTCTTTTTAGGTGCTCCTTTCGGAGGAAGTCGTATTCTCCCTCGTGTGCTCGTTAAAATTTGTTAATTAACAATTCTTCTGGAAAGGAAGTAGGGAAACAAGCCAAAAATGCATCTCAAATCATCATAAGGTAGCAATCCATCATAGAACAACCCTTCAAATAACTAAAGTGCCATCACTAAGGTGATGATATTTTGTCAATATGTTCATCACATGAAAGAATGACCAGCAAAAACATCCATGATATGAAGTGATCAATCATTTTCATATCAGTCAACCCCCAAATATAATGAAATATTCCTTACCTGTCATAACTCCGATCATAATCTGGGTCAGTACGATCCTTCTCCCTATCTCTGAAAATGGCAACACGAGATGACATACCATCCCTGATGTAGACAGTTTTTTCTGGATCAACTACAGAGTTCCTGCACTCATCGTTCTCATCCTTGCTTGAACTTAAATTCTTGCCATCTGTAGGGAGCTGAGGCACAGTATCCTCTGCAGTGGGGCTGCTGGGGCTACTGAAGATGCGAGCTCGTGCCCTATCATAATCCTCCTTCCTCTCTTCCACGCTTCTCACAGGACTCCGTTTAATCCCAAACCCATTAGGGTCATTTATAGATCCATTGTTAGGTCGAGGTCTAATGGCAAGCTTAATCTTCTCATGTTTATCACTTTCCAACTGTTTAGCAGGAATTTCAGACAGGCGAACTGCAGGAAATCTGCTTTCAGCTGTTTTCTGCACCAGAATCTTATTTGCCAGACCATCAATGCCATTATCCTGTACCGTGGTTATCAGCCCATAGTGTTGAGCGACGCGATGTGCTGCAAGCCTAAGGTAGGAGGTAGGGAAATGCTGGAATTCAAATAGTTGTTGATCGGGGCTTTGCAAAAACCTCTGGATATCAAGTTCCATCCGCAAAACTGATCCAGCAAATTGAGAAACAAAATAAATCTTAGTAGTCCGGAAAGAAAAACAGAAAAGCCAAAACACGATAACACAAACCAAACACAGCCAAAAGCCACTGCAACTGTAGCAAGTCAATGCCAGTTGTATAATAGTTTTCATCAGAAAAGGAAAATAACTACAAAATACTAGAAAGCCAAATCTAACTACTATCAAGGCCCGCAGAAATTAGACCACATTTGAGTTTTTGATGCCTAGAACTTTCAAATGCATTGATAATCCTAACATCATCTAAAATTTTAGGTTTCCATGCCAATGAATTACTGTTCTTGACTTGAAAGGGTTGCCATGGTTGGACATCCAACACACAGATATGCACTCAAAACACATGTATGTGGCTATGTATGAAGGGCCTTAATCCTGAATTTATATTGTTTGAAACCCTATTGTTACTGTCTTGGCTCATTTTGCAGTGATATTCTCTAGCCTTTTGCTTTTCATTTTTTCCTCCAGAGTTGGATCCTGGAGCACCTCCTTGGTGCAACAGATGCCTACCACCCAAATACTGTGAGGGTGGACCATTGACACATAGGAGTCCCCTTCATTCTATGAGAGTTTCTCGGTTTTGCCAGTGTTACCCAAAACCAGGGGCAACTACATGCCAAAAATAAAATGAGAAGTTCTCATTTTATTCCTAACAATTCTGATTATTTTAAGGTTTAGGTTATTTGAGTTTCAAATCTACCTTAGTACTATACTACACAGGCACCCCACTACTAAAATTCTAGTTCCACCACTGTCCGAGACCAAAACAGTGTTCATACAGCAGCAACATCTACTTTTACTTAAATACCATAAAAAAACTGTGAGGTTTTCACTTTCCATGGTCTTTCTTCCAGTAGACATAAAATATTCTCTACTTGCCAAACTACAAATGCCATTCTCAACGGTACCTAATTTGTTAAACATAACAGGCATGTGAGCTTTCAGAAAGTAAAGAGGCGAGTAAGATTGAATCCTACTCAATACAGAAATATTAGAGCTGCAATTCTGACATAGTCTAAAGTGGATATCTTTAATCCAATCTCTTAGCCTCGCCATGGAAATATTAAACAAATCATAACGCAACTTAATCCTAACTAAGCCAGCCTATCCCTTTCCGTAGATAAGCTAGGTTTACATAAGAGCAGGCAGATCAAGTGATCCAAGGCCTCTAACTTTATTGGAGTCACAAGGCCAAACAACAATGGGTATGCTAGATGAAATACCACAGCTCATGCCATTTATTAGAAATATGGGCATTTAGTTACTGGAAATAACGGGTGCCTGGATAACAACATACTCATCTCTATGTTTCACATAAGACTTTCCATCTATTATATAAATATCGTACCAATGTCCTCTGAGATGCTAGCATACCACCCCATTTTTTCTTCCACAACCAAAATAAAAAGACAAAACCACCTCAGATAAGGAGACACGGTAGTTTATCCCCATGCAACTTCAGACATAACCAGATTAAAAAAGGAACCTTAAGACCTATAAGTCTCTCACAGAGCAGTAATTACCTTAGCATGCACATACATAAAAGCGTGCAGTCAATAGAAATCCAAGTAACAAACCATGCACAACAGTATTAGTGAACCACAATGACAATCAAATTGCAGGGAAAAAAAAACAAGGGAAGACTAAGAAATCAACACCAGATCGATGCTGCATTCAGAAGCAAACTGTTCCCTCCAACAACATCACTCACCCCAAGGAAGTGAAAAGCAGATGTTATAAGGGGCATTGAAACACTCAAGTTAATACCTAATTTATTACAAATAACAAGCCTATGGTCACCAATTAGAAGACAATTAAAAAAATCAGCATCGGATCTAAGCTACATTCAGCACCAATTATTCCTCGCAGCACTTACCAAAAAGAATTTAGATAAATTAGAGACGTCAAGACACTTAGGTTAGCAGCTGATAAAATTAGTTATAGCTAACCTAAGGTTATAAATTCTGCTCAAGTTACATTATTATTTCCTTAGCAACCAAAACAACCTATAATTCCCAATAATTAAAACCCAGATCTAATATGTCTCGAAACTCTGAGATAAATCAATTTCCAAATCAAACAAACCCCAATTCCCAACTCAAACACAAAATCACAAAACCCTAAAAAATCATAAAACACAAAATTCACCAAGCACGTCCACAAAATCAATAAAGCAACAAAAACCCATAAACCCAACTAGCCAAACAAATCCAAATAACCTAAAAAGCTAAAATTTTGAAAAAAACCCTAAACAGCGCAAAAAAATTGGAGAAAAAAGAAGAAGCAAGTACTAACTGGTGAGACGGTGACGCGGGTTCCGTAGAGCCTCAACTAAGAAAGGATCTACCATTGACTCCTTCTCATTAATGGCTGCCACTGTTTGTTGTGTTGTTGACTCCATGATATTAATATATCACCACTCTCTCCGTTTGTCTCTCTAGAAAATTCCTCTTTTTTATCGAACCTCTTCTTCTGCTTCTGCTTCCCCGTGTTTAGGCAGAGAGGAAGGGAAGGGAAGAGAGAAGTCAAAGAGGGGATAGAGGTTTGTGTTAAAAAGCAAAGGGTTTCATTGTTAGATTTTAGAGAGAGATAAGCCAACCCTTTGTTGTTTTGTTTTCGGTCTTATCTCTCTCTTTATTTTCTAACCAAAACGAAGGAAAGGTAAAGATGGCTATGCCTTAGATTTTATATTGGTGTGTTTATTTGTCTCAACGTTCTTTTTTTTGGATTTTTTTTTAATTTGCTAATCATTTTCTTTTTTATTTATTTTGTGGAGACGAAGAAAAAAGAAGGAAAAAAATCAAGTCTTGTTTTGGATTTTTTGGGTTTTGCCAACGTGAATGTGAATGAGTAAATTATAAACTAGTCCTTTCATTTACAAAATTAATTAATTTTTTTCAATAATTAATTATATACTTTTTATTAGTGCTGATAAACTTAATTTCATTTTATTTTCTTTTAAAAATTTCTTTTTTATCAATTTTTTCTGTGATATCTATTTTTTATTTCTCTATTTTCAAAATAAAAAACAAAATAAATTAGAAAATAGCATAAAATAGACAAAAAAAAATAGAAGAATTAATCAATTTGTTTCTTAAAACTTAAGGGACTAAAGTATAATTTGGTTGTATTGGTGACTGGAATTTTTGCCCTTTTGCTGTATTGGGGTGGTTTGCTTACAAAATTGTAAATTAGGATTCATCGGTAAAGAGACTAAGATGGCCCAAGTTGCATAATGGGCGTAAGACTGTGTAAAAGGCATTGATCAAGCCCAACCCACTTAAAAACTTTTCATCTAGCCACTTGCGAGTCTTTGCAGTCAACTATAACAATTCTTAGTCCTTTCATCGGATCGTTCCAATTTACAATTGTGATCGAACAATGCCAATTATGGTTAAATAGATTTTAAGGCATATCTCCTTATATAATATTTAAAATCTCGTATTTATTTTTAAATTTTTAATTATATTTTATTTGTTTCTAAAATTTTATAAAATGTTCAGTTTGTTATTTCATTCAATTTTTTCGATCATTAACAAATTTTTTGATTCACATATTCTTTACTAAAATATGAAAAAAAAACATATAAAGTCATGTGGCCTGTATGTATTGTTTTTTAAGTCTTTAATACTTTTTTCTTGCATTTCAATCAGAGGCATATATATATATATATAGTAAAAAAAGATAAAAAAATAGATTGAACATTTTAAAAAATATCATAAACAGATAAAATGAAATTAAAAATCTAGATACAAATGAGAGATTAAAAGTATTATATAAGGATAGATTTGATCTATTTAGTCTAAATTTTAAGGATACATACTTATTTTAAAATTAGTTTTTTTATTTTTTAAATTAAAATATTTAATAATTATTATAATTTTTAAAGATGATCAGATTTTTTTAATTTTTATTGAATTTATAATAATAATTATTATTATTAAATTTTTTTTCAATTTTTAATGATTTTATAATGAGTATTAATAAAGAAAAATTTTAAAAAAAATCTAAGGAATTTTTAATCATTTTATAATAATTATTAATAAATATAATTTTAAAAAAATCTAAATAAATTTAATGATTTTATAATAATTATTAATAAAGACAATTTAAACAAATCTAAAGAAAAGTGTTTAAAAAAACTGACAAAATTGATAATCGATTTTTTTTTAAATAATTAATAATCTTTATAAAATCATTAAACATTTCTTTAGATTTTTTAAAATTTTCTTTATTAATAATTATTATAAAATCGAAAAATTCTTTATATATATATATCTAAAAATTTCTTTATTGTTAATTATTATAAAATAATTAAAATTTGGAAATTTTTTGATTATTTTAAAATTTTCTTTATAATTTTTTCTAATTTCATTGATTTTATAATAATTATTAACTATTTTATCTTTAAAAAAATTTAAAAAATTATATTTTAATCCTGAAGTCGACACATGTCGCTATTTAATTAATCAAAAGTTAGTTAACTAACGAAAATTAATCAATCCGATGAAAAAAATAAAAATAAAAATTATTTGTCATCAACGTCCAATAATACAAAATTTAAACTATATTGAATAAAGTTTTTGCAACACTATTTTTGGTATAGTATAGATACACAAGGTGTGTTTAACTCAAAACATTAGTCATATAAAATCAAAAACACAAATTGAAAAAAACAAAAAAAAAATCATTAGGTTTTTACGTTGTATTTAATAATAAATAGAAAATTGATCATTTTTAAATTAATTTTTATAGTAAATTAGAACAATGTTCTTGAGTTGATGAAATTACAAATGTCTATAAGCTAGATAATAATAACAATAATAATAATAATAACAAAAGTCTCTAACAATTGAACATCAATAAGATAGATTTGTCAAATTTGACTACAAATAGAAAACTTGAGATGGATTTTTTTAGATTAATTTTTTTTGGACTGTGCTTATAACTTGAGAAAACTCCCAACTTCAACCTTGATTGCTAAGCATAGAACATATTTCATTAAGCATCATGCCTGTTCCTCGTTGCTCAACATTCCAGCAAGATTCCATAGTACAATAAATTCAATAAATCTTAAAAAAGAAAAAAAGAAAAAGTAATGAATGAAGTTTATCCATTAAGAAAATTATATAAATATTTTAAAAATATTGATTAAGATGATTAGTAGACTTATTTTTCAAATTTTCAAGGTGATGTTTGAAATTAAAAGGAAATTATACACATACAATAAATAATGTTGGTTTTCTAAATATTCGAATAAGATACAATTTAGTTGATTTATTGATATGTAAAAATAATTAAAAAATATTCCGAGTTATTATATATACGAAGGAAAGAAGAAAAGGAACAAGTTTGGAGTAATATCAACGAGACTCAACGTCACGTCAAATGCAAAAGAAAGTGGAAATTAATGTACAAAAACTGATAAAATATGGCTAAATTATAAATTAATCTCTTTATTTTTAGAAAATAAATAAATTAAATTTTTTCAATAATTATTATTTAATTTTTTAACTAGTATTGATAGTGATTAATTTAATATTATTTTTATTACATAAAATGTTTTTTTCTCACCAATCCTTCCTCACATACACACATATTTTTAAAAAAAATTAAATTAATTTATAAATAAATTAAATAATATAAGAATTAAATAATTATTTTTAAAATAAATAAACTAAATAAAAAGAATTAATTTATAATTTACACATGAAAAATATCCGAATTATATATATATACATATAAAAGGAAAAGTTTGACGTAACGGCAAAGGGACTCGTCAAACGCGGAAAAAAAGAAAAGAGAGTCGAAGGAAGTAGTCCAGCATCATGACAAAGAAAGAAGTTTCCAGACGCTGAGGAAGCAACAACTAAGAATCTCTCGCTCTAAACTTGTAAAAGAAGGCCCACGCGCGTCTCTATTTCTCCGCAGCCGTACACTACACGAGTTAAAATCGATCCACCAGTATCGTTCCATGGGCCCCGCTTACTTCAATTTCCTTTATCTTTGAGCAAGTGATACGCACGCTCTGTCGGTACCTTTTTGCTTTTTTGCCTTAAGGATGGACTTGACTTTTCTTACGGAAGGTAGTACGGAGGCGTAGATTACAGTAGAACCTGTTTAAATTAATACTCGATAAATTAATAAATTATCTAAAATAATATTTTTCTTCACTCCGACTTCAGCCAGTTGAAAAAATCATCAATTTCGATAAGATAATAAAATAATATATTTTTATAAAATTTCTATATAAATATATGGTCCCATTAATATCACAAATTAATAATTCTTTTAAATTACAAATATAACAAAGACAATTTAGTGAAACATGATTCTAGTGTTGTCTGTTTTTTCTTAAAACTTAAATCTAGTTGGAGTTCATCTATAATTTTTCTTATTGCATCCAAAAGTTCGATGTTGTGTTCTCGAACTCGTACTAAAAAATTGTGAAGAGTCTTAGATGCGATAAGTGCTTCCTTACGCATAACTCGGTTCCAAAGGCATTGTATCATCTTCAACTTCATCATCAACATTATTTTGAAGGATGGTATCCACAATTTCTTCTAAGCTCGGACCTTTGAACATGTATCATTTTCACCGGGTAATCCAACGAGCTATTGACATCCATTTTATTGCGATAGCATCGAGATCATTAATCATGACCTCAAGTTCATAAATGTCATTTTCACAAGTAGATTCATCTAAATTCCTTGAGACTTCATCCCCAAACGAATTTTGCGAGTGTCGAAAACAATTTGCTATTGTCTCTTGTTGAACATTTATCGTCCAAGCCGAGACTCGAAAGATTGATAGCATCCAAAACATTAATCTTTCCCGATTCGGATTACCCCAACTCATAGCCTTCTAATATCCTACGGTAAAAGGCAAGAGAAGGCAAGAGATACAATTCATTGTATTTTTACTAATGTTCATTGTTTATGGAGGTTTAACTTATTAATTAATATTCATTGTATCATTTCTTAAATAAATAATGTTCATTGTTTCTTAATAATTAAATACAATTCATTGTTTCTTAATAATAAATAGTAAAATGAATTTATTTTTTATATTAATTCAATAAACATGATACATAAATCAACTTGTAACCTCTTTAAATTCATCTAATCAAAATTCAACTTTGTTGAATTCGAAAACACTCTTTAAATTAATAAATATTAATTTATCGATTAATTAATATCTCTACAAAATAATAAAATCTCATGGTCCTAACAATATTAATTTATGGAGGTTTTACCGTAGTTGGTTTGTGGCGCGTGATCCTACGCTACCGCAAATACAGATTATAAAATATTTTAGGGGCACTACGAATGGTACTCAACTTGGTAACCATATATTCTATATAGCTACAATTTTACCCTTAATCTATAAAATTGTGAAATA